TTTACATGTCCTTTGTCAGCCAATTAAGTGCAGAACTGAGAAGGCAACCTAAGGAGGAGCAGATCCCTCTAATGAAGCAGTGAAGGTTGCTTCCAAGGAACTGACAGGCTGAGGAAGAAAAACATATGGTTGCCAATGAAAGTTGAAATAATTCAAGCGCTACACTATCATGTCTCCAAATCCAAAAAAAGTTCTAATGAACACAGCAAATAAACCTGGGGGTCCCAAATGAGCTTCTGGCTAACCTGCTTTTGAACAGGTAGCTGGCAAGACAGAGGGCAGCGCATGGGAGTGGGGAAGGCAGGCAGGGAGGAGGGGGCTGCAGGGTCCCTGCAGTGCCGTGTCCTGCTGCTGGAGCGTTTAGGAAGCCAACCCAGTGAGTGCCAGGAGGATGCTGTTGCAAAGGCAAGTCCAGTTTCTGTCTCCAGGCATGTGGAGGGGTTTTTGTTTCTGGAAGCCTGGAGCCACCCTTTTTAATTAAAATGTCTAAAAGCCCATTTAAACCAAAGTTTTTCTTTCTGTCTTAGGTAAAACAATGGGAAGTTCCCAGGGAATATTCTTCTATTTGAGATTACTTGAAAGACTGGGAAGTCAGGAGGCAAATAGAAAGGGCTGATAAGCTCACAAGCCAAGTCGTTATCATTTTTCGCTTTACATCTAAGACCAAGCACCAGAAATCCCTTCCATACTGTGAGAATAGTGATTTTCATTTTTTTAAAAATATAATTGTTTCAGAATTACAGAATTAGTGCCAGATAGTAAAATTCCTGTAACCTGAAGCCCAGTTTCCCGTTAACTGTACCAGTGTGGTCCGTTGTCATATCACATGAACAAATAGTGATCCATTTGTTTTTGAAGCGCCCCACTTCCCTCGGATCTCCTTGGAGTCTCTCTCACATTTGTTCAAGCTCCTTTGGACTGTAATAGCTTCAGATTTAGGCTTTGCGGAGCCTGGATGGATTTGAACCCTGGTTCAGGGACTTCGTAGGAAAGTCCTCCACTGGGAGATCTCGGCTCCGACTGCACTGAGGTTGGGGTGCGAAGGCCAAGCAGAGGCCAGGCATTTCCATGGCTCCCTTTCCGGGTGGACTGAGGAGTTCCGGCCGCCATGTGAACCTTTGCCCAGCGGGCTGGGAGGGCCTGGATCTCTCCACTGCTCGCTATTGATCGGAGCTCGCTACCTGCAGACAGCTGGAGTCCAGGGCTGGGTTCCATTTGCCAAGCGTGGAGCATCCCAATACAGAAACTGCCTGGGAAGCTGCTGCAGAGCGAGCCCTTCTGCCAGTCATTCACATACATACTCAGTATGGCCACAGGGGTGTTTCATAGCTGGGCTTTTGTTGCTTTGGCGTAGCTCTAGCATTTTTAGTTACCTCATTCCCGGGTATTTAAAGATATTCCAGGCATGTTCCCCACTCCAAATCCAGTCATTCCTCGGAAAAGCCCAGGTTCCTTTGATTAAATGGTATCAGAAGATACAGGGGCTACTACCTAAAGAAACCCACTTTATTAGATAACAGGGTGGGTGGTGTTCGCACCTGCCCAGCATGCGCAATCATTAGCACTGGGAAAAAAATCTTTTAACAATCTCTTATTAAAAAGAAATTCCAATGCTTCTGCTTACCTGAGACTGAAATCTCGAAACACATGCACATCTAGGGTTTTCAATTACTGGCCTTGAATGGGTCAATGCAGTATGGGAGATGGCCAGCAAAAAGTGAGATCATGAATCATTCGTGTCTGATTTTAATTATACGTCAAAATTAAATCCATTTTTGGGATTGTCTTGGTTCTAAGGCTGGAGCCCAGGGCTTCCACACTGGGCTTTATTTCTGGTCCTATCTTTTATTAAGACAGCTCTACCCTGCTACACCCCCAGCCTGGCCCACTCAACTGGCCATCTCCCCCATTCAGCCTGCTTTTTTTTTTAAAGATAATAAAAAAGTTAGAAATGATAGAGAAGGGGCCGGGGAGATGGCTCAGTAGACTAAGCGCTTCCCTGGCAAGTGCAATAGCCTGAGTTCAATCCCCAGTTCCGCAAAAAAAAAAAAAAAAAGAAATGATAGAGAATGTCGACTAAACAAAAGAATATGAATTGGACAATGTTTGTTGTATTGCATAGTGTTGTCTTCCAATTAGTTGTTTAGATTACCAGATATATGCATGCAAAATTGGGGGAACAGACATTAAAAAGAAAAAAATTTTAAGCAGTAACTGTTCCTTTCAACAGACCAGCATGCAGGCAGGCAGGCAGGAAGGCAGCCTGTGACTTGAAGTGTTCTGTGTGGTTTGTCGAAGAATATCTGAGGACTGGTTTTTCATTAACCAATTCAGCTTTAGGAACGGAATTTGTAAACTATCCTTGCTATGGCAGGTAAAGAAAAATAGGTACAACGGGACTCTTTTAGGCACTTTTTATTTTCCAAAAAAAATTGTCATTAATATATAAACATCTCATTCTCTCAAAAAATTCTACAACTATACAGCTGTTTGCTCCATTGTTTGCATAGGAAATGACCACAATACAAAAATAAGAGGGAAAAAGAAGCAAAACAGCAACCAATTTATGCTTTTATGTAGGTCTGTTTCCACGTATAAACATTTTAAGCCTCTTACAAAATTATTTACACCATTTGTCACCTATTTACACATTTTAGAGCAACTTTTCTAACAAACAAAACTATAATTTATCAAGTTATGAAAATTGTTTTTCTAAAAAAAACTTGCTATATTACCACAAAATAAATAAAGATAAACAATATTTTAAAAACAAAATTAAATTTTCATTTCAATTAAGACCCCTTTTGGCGTTTTGCTTATTATTCTGCCCTTTGGTTAACAGTGTCAGCACATTACTAGTTCATATTGCATATATGTAGCACTTGCTCCCGCAAGTCCCCAACATACCACGGATACTTAGAGGCAGACACTGCGTCAGTATTAACAATAATAGATTAACTAAACCGCACTGTAATTTAGGTCAAATTACTGTGTCTTGCTGTATATTACATGCAAACCCACATAAACTCCCCTCTAGCCCACAGCACTGCACGAGTGGACATTGGGCACATGAAGACTGCGTCCTAAGTTCAGCACTGTCGCATGCAGCTGCGTAAGTCCTTCCTTTTAAAAATGATACTGTGTAGCTTCTTGCAAGAGGTTTCACTTTTGCACATTGTAACCATGTTTAAGCTTTTCAGTTTACAATTCATATAAAACTCTTGTATTTAAAATAATCCTACCTTAATCAGTGCATCAAATTTGCTCTTTAAAGTTCATTTGGATGATTATTCCTTCCCCCTAAAGAAATGAATTTTGGTAAAAGCTGAGGTGTCTCACCACAACTTCTAACGTGTTCATGGTTATTTTCAAAAGCAGTATGATTCCCCCCCCAAAAGAATCCTTAAAACCCTAATAAACCTATAAAGCTGATTTGCATATTTACAAAATTTCAAATAGCAAATATAGGCAACTCATATATATTTTAAAAGAAACACATTTGTTCAATGGCTATTCGAAAACTGCCCAAACGCTGGGTACCTAAGCAACTGCCTCCACTGACAGAGCCTAAGCCAGTAAGGAAGTCCCCACAGCACACTCCCCTGTGCCAGGCCGCCCGCCCCAGCCCCCTGACCAGGGGCGCTGGCATGAGATGCCACTTGCTTGATGGGGGAAGCCATGTACACGACAGCAAGCATTCCAGATTCTTAAAAGGACCAAACACTTTGGTATGGATACAATGTATTCCCTGTTTTCTCACATATACAAAATATACATTTCCAGTTGCATCTTCGGCTTCCCCGAGGCGGCACGGCCGGCAGGCGGGCGGGCGGGCTCAGTTCTGGTGCCTCTTCATGTGCAGCGCCAGGTGGTCGGAGCGCGAGAAGCTGCGGTTGCACACCGCGCACTGGAAGGGCTTGGCGCCCGTGTGCTTGCGGTAGTGGCGCGTGAGCTCGTCGGAGCGCGCGAAGCGCCAGTCGCAGCCTTCCCACGTGCACTTGTAGGGCTTCTCGCCTGTAGGAGCAACACAAGGGTGAGGCGGCTGCTGCTGCTGCGGCCGAGCTCCTTAGACCCACCCCAGCACACACAGACACCCCAATTAAAGGAAACAACATTTTAGGTGGAATGGCCATTTTCCGAGAGAGGAGACACAGGCTGACCCTGACCTCGCTGGGTCGCTCAGCCAGGGGTCCATCTTGCAGCGATGCTCCTGCCTCAGCCTCTGAGTGCTGGGAGTACAGGCGTGTACCACCACACCCAGCTTACACGCGAATGCTTTTTAAAACTTTATGCAGATATTTAATGAATCCTTTAACCACAAAGCCTGGGGTCAGTAGGTTCAGAATGATGAAGAGTCAGACTATGAAACAACCATAACAACTCCATTTGCTGAAATAAGCATTTAGCTTTTCTTTTGTGTCCCCAAGTAGCTGGGCACACAGATGCACGTCCCCAATCCCAGCACTATGGAAAGCTGAGGCAGGAGGCGCACGCGCTCGCGATGTGTCTGGGTAACTCACCCTAAGCAAGACCTTGTCTTAAGAAAACAAGGGGGAAACAGAAATAGCTCAGTGCAAAGGCCCTGAGTTCAAACCTAATACTGCCGAGAGAGGATAAATTTGCATGTTAAAGTACTGCGGGCATGCAGCTGGGTTTTTATATGGCTAATTTTCCCTGAATTCCTTTTAAAAACGCTTTCTTCTGAAAGAAAAGAACCTCAGGAAAGCAACAGCCTTTCTGCTTAATTTAGCAGTACCGTATTTAGGGAGTCATACTACTGAATCTAAATTGTGACACATGGCCTGAACCGCTAAGGCCCCCACAGCATGGAGACGAGCCCTGCGCACCCTCAGCGACTGGTCCCATTCATTCTCGGAGACCCACGGCCCCGGAGGATGACCACACACCAGTTCCTTTATGCCCATCTCTCCTGGCTCTGGCCCAAGCCCTAGATTTTTAAACTGCACATATCTCAATTCTGGGTGTTTTCTCATCATAGATTCTAATGATGAAATGGAAAAGCAAAACAAACCTGAATTTTAACATTAACATAAGAGATAAATCATCCTTCACTTATAGTTACATAACTGATACATAGAAACATTTTAGTATCAACAATAAATGTGGCTATCTTTATATATAAATCAAATGGAAGAAACATTTTTTGCACAAAATTGTTTGGCTTTTTTTGTTCTTCATGGAAATAAATTGAAGAAACAAATTGGTTAAATACTATCATTTAATGGAAAAAAGGCTATTTCTGGTGTCTGAAGCAGGGAAAAAAGCTTCCCAGAGAGCCCCAATTTTGAAAGAAGTCATTCTACTTTTTTTAACCTCAATAATTAAATAGCAGAACTGTGTTTTCAGAGTTTATTTAAGAAACAAGGGACACTAAGACTCTTTTTGTTCAGTATTTTTATTGGCTATGAAGCAATAAACTGCACTAGTATTTTTTAAAGTTTGCTTTACTGATTGGTTGAAATACAGTAGCCATTAAGGTTCCCAAAACATTTGGGGCCTTTGCTCTCAATTTATGCACAACTATAGATTCCTCAGCCAAGAATGTGGCCAGTGTCTGGAGTGGCGGCTGTGGGGCCAAGACTTTCGATAAAAGCTGGGACAGCGCTCTCCACTCAGGGCAGTTTCTCCCGGACTTGTTCAAGTGTCAACACTGTGCAAGTAAAACATCGAGGAGGAAGCTGGTACCCAAGTTCTAGCCAAACAGCAGACTTAAGCCTTTCTTCCTCGGCCAAAAACACTATGCACAGTACTTCTGGGAAACCAAACTGACTTCCTTCAAGTTACATTTCAACAGGACAGAGCTTTCAAAAGTTTAATTGGATTTTTACAGAATCTCTTTCCAATACCACCAATTTAAAATATTTAGTTAAGCTCTTTCAACATCAGCTGTATTTTAAGTTCTCATGCTGTTAATGTGAAACTTTCCAAAGGCAAGAGAAAAAAGTGACAATCTGTACAGCATGGAAAGCCCTCAGCTTTACCTCAGATAGTCTGCATTTTCTTCTACTTGAAAAGTATAGAAAGTTTGCTGATAACTCCTAATCTTGAAAAAAAGTGTCCAAGTTAAACACTCATACTGATATGCCATCAACATTTTATCCAGACCTTTTAACCAGCATAAGGGACGAGCACCCACCCGGGCCACACCCCAGGGCTAGGCTCTTCTCCTTGTCTGGCATAACCCTCACTCGCACACCAGGGGAGAGGAGCCGTGAGCTCGGCCTTAAAGTCCCACTTAAGTCTCCCATTAGCAAACTCTCATTGCTTGGAAAGATACCAAGAACACACAGATGCTGCTCAAAGGTAAGCACTTTCTAAGTCAGACCTTAGGCTGCCCGCGCAGGCAACGCTGCTGCACAGATCAGCCTCCCTCCGCTCAGCTCTGCAGCCACACCGAGGCCCTAACCTGAGGCCCCAGCATGTCCCCTTGGCTGCAGGGCTCCTGACCAAGGACCAGGCACCACAGTCAGTGTCCTTTCTCCCAGACCAGGCTATATTCAGTGTGGCAGAGCTTGTACTTAAAAAGCTCCACAAAAATTAAAACACCTTTCTTTCTGTGATGAACAGAAAAAACATGACATCTGAGGCTGCCACAAAGGAATGGGAAGTTTCTCTGCTCTGCTGAACACACTGAATAGACTCAGAGCAGTGCCTTACCCTAGAGCATTCTACATACTCTCCTACCAAAAGGAAAGTCACACAAAGAAATATTACTTCCAATACATACATACATAAACATACATACACATATATCAAACAAAATTAGAGCCCAGGTTTACTAAAGATGGCATAGCCTACACTTTAAACACTGCAAAGCAAGACTTGCTCGCGGACTGCAAAGAACGTCAGTACAGTAGTCAACAGGCTTGTTCCCCACCACTGACAGAATTTAACATATCCATTTGCTAATAATCAATGGGGGTATAAAGAAAAAGTTTGTGGAAAATAATGTCTAGGTATATCTGAGGAAAATCAAGTGAGATGATTTAGCTCACTAATTCATGTTTTTATGTATCCATGCTAGTAACTTTCCCTTTTTACAATTTTATTAGAGCACAGTGAACAGATCTCCCACCTTTGGGCAGAGATAAAGGTCTGTTTCACAGAGGAGCGGGGCCAACTGTGGAGGTACATGCCTGCAATCCCAGCCCTAGGGGAGGCTGAGGCAGGAGTCCAGCCCGGACAAAGTTACTAAGAGACCCTGTCTCAGAAAATAAAGGGTGAGAGGGAGCCAGGCTCAATTCCCAGTACAACCACCCCTAAGAGAAGACATTTACAAATACCTAGTATTTACTAGACATGGTAATCCTGTTTGTGATAGATCCATTTTGAGGGAGCTAGCTAAAAGGTAAGAAGAGTGGGTATGGTAGATTTGCTAGGAAAGTTACTTCCTGCAAGAAATCTCAAAGTTTCACTAAAATCAGGATACTGATACTTGCTTTTAAAATTCATCAGCCAAGGGGGGCCTGGCCTTAGCTCAGTTGTTTAAGTGGCTGCTTCCACAAAGCTGTCAGCCTCAGGTTGCTGTAGTTCAATCCCCACAACACTCCAGCCAGCCAAACCACCCCTGAGGGCATTCAGAGCAAAAAAAATAAATAAATAAAATAAAATAAAATTCATCAGCCAGGTATGGTGGCACATGCCCGTAATTCCAGAATTTGGGAGGCTGAGGCAGAAAGCCAGGCTCAGCTACTTAAGTCAATTTAAAGCTGGCCTGAACCCTCATACAGGGTCTCTGCCTCAAAAACAAGGCCAGAGTGCTTCCCTGGCAAACACAAGGGCCTGAGTTCAATCCCCGGTTCCGCTTAAAAAAAAAAAAAAAAAAAAAAAAAAAAAGGCCAGGCCTGGTGGGACATAGCCTGATCTCCACACTCAGGAGGCTGAAGCAGGCGGACTGCTTGCTTAGCTCAAAACCAGCAAGGACCACACAGCGAACTACCTAGCAAGAACTTGTCTCAAAAAAACAAAACAAAACAAAAAATAAAGTTAACAGGAGAAACCCAATTCATCTTACGTCTTCTAGAAACTCACCAACTAAGAGACCATTATATTTCTCTGTATCCTATACATTCACATTTATTTTGAACTGATCTGTGGGTAGCTTATCTGTGGAGCATGTGCTTAGATCTACCTGGTCTTGGATCCAATTCCAAAGATAGAAGAGCTGGATATTGAGGTGAAACCTATAATCCCAAAGCTCAGGAAGGGAGGGGCAAGACAGTTCGGTTTAAGGGATACAAAAAGTAATGACCTTGTATCAAAACATAAGACATGTCTTTTAAATTGGACCAGGTAGCACACACCTATGATCCTAGCCCTGGGGAGGCTGAGGCCAACCTGGGATGGGATACCTACTAAGTTCAAGGCCAGCCTGATCCACATAATGAAACACTGTTTTAAATAAAAGAGCCCAGGGGCCGGGGAGATGGCTCAGTGGAGTAAGTGCTTCCCTGGCAAGTGCAAGGGCCTGAGTTCAATCCCTGGTTCCACAAAAAAAAGTGAAAAAAAGAGCACAGCTGTGGTGGCAGGGGCCTGCAATCCCAGCACCAAGACTCAGAGGCTGAGGCAGGAGAATCATGGAGTTCAGACCAGCCTGGGTTACAAAATGAGCTCCAGGCCAGCCTGAACAACAACAACAAAAAAAAAAACCAAAAAAACAAAAAAACAAAACAAAAAAAACAAAGAAAAACACCTAATTTGGGCCCTGGACTTCTACCTGTGCACACTGCTTCAGGCAGCCTCCAACAGCTGCTCTGCCTGGGCTCATGGGCAGCTATGTTCCAGCCCTGCTGTGCCATACTTGCCCTGCCACCAGTCGTGCGTCTGGCCAAAACCAAACTGGTTTCCATCAGGAGGAAGGCTTTCTATTATTTTGCTAGAGAAGCAGAGAGAAGGTGGGTTTTTCCCCACCTGCAGCCATCAAGGATGGGTGATGTGGTGACAGACACATCCGGGTAGAACTATGCTTTAGGCTTCTTCAGAAGAAAATATTC